TTTATGCAGGAACCTGGGTAGTTTTCAGAGGATATGTGTTTTGTATGCTCTTATTTAAGTACAAACAAATATAAACTTTTCTTTTCTGGCTTAAAAAAAAAAAAAAAAAAAAAAAAAAAAAAAAAATCCACCTAGAAGTGTAGATAAGTTTTGAGAACTGAGCTTTGACTACCAGGGAAAACTGAACTGGTCATCCCACTTACTGAACCTACAATGATCTTGATGGATCACTCGGGGCAGTTTCCTTATCCACACACCACTGTGATAATATGAACGGCCTCAGGGGGTAGCTGTGATTGTATGAAAGAATGCATTACAGTGCTTATCAAAACAACTGGCAAACCAGAACACAATAGTTGCATTTCTTAGTTAGCTGTAGTTAACTATTGTAGTCATAGTGTTTTTGAATGGGCCCGAAGCTTTTCCAACATGGCCAAGACACATCTGGACACTTGTACTAGTGCAATTATTCTGAGAATGAACAGATTTTGAATGGGTTCTACTAGCACATGCACTTTCACTGCAATCTGGGGACTAGTGATTCAATAAAAACAAAGCCTTGTATTAACCAGCTATGGGTAATTATGAGAAAAGCTTAATCTAGTCACTGTTACTGCAGGGATTTAGTAATTTAATGCTTTCATCAATCAAACTGACCATGGTGGTCATTAGATGAGAGAAGTCCAACCCTTGCAATGTTTCCCACTATTTGATATACTGGTGAAGGGTAATAGTCATCTCTAATGTAACATGTCAGCTAAAGTTTTAACATTTACGTTTAGAAGGTAAGTACTTAATGAGGTTTTTTTTCAGAGGGGGGGTTTCTTGATGTTTTCTGATGTCAATTCACACTTCTGTTAAAAAAAAAAAAAAAGAAAAACGAAAACGAAAAATCCAATGCCACTGCCTAACAATGCAAGCAACTTTGCCATAGTCTGGGTGACATTTCCCTCCATTATTTCAAGTGAAGCAGTTATTTTTATCCAGTACTTAAATGACTGAAAGAAGCCATCACTATGTTTACAAAAATACATAATGATACATACTGTTGTTTAGACACATTTACATTAGAGTTCTGACTTGAGCATTCTATTTGACATGTTTTGCCAAGCAGCTTTGGCACATGTCACTACATTAAACTTACACCAGCAAGATTTGCACCATATGTGCAAAATCATTTTCTATTACATTTCTACAAATCTGTATATAAGAGCTGTCAAAAATTAACACAGATCTGTACTATGAAATGACATAGCACTGAATGAGTGAAGTTATACATTTAAATGCGTTATCTAAGAATGAAACTTTAAAAAATTGAAATCTAATAAACTGAGGAGGTAGTCAATGGGTATTAGGTTTAAGTCTAGAGCACATATTGAATGACAGAATCCAAATGAGAGTGCAATGTGTGTTTGTGTTTCTAAACATTGTATACTTCATCTTTATATAATGCTCCATCCATTTTTTGAGAGCAACAGAAGGGAGGCACAAGTCATTAAAAGCAGCAGGGAAATGTAGAAATCACAAATCAGCAGATTCTAAAGTTTGGGTTCTTGTCTAGATTTTGCATAAATATCAGGTGTTACAAGAAAGTTACTGGATTTAAAACATTTTATCAACATCAGTTACCATCACTTGATGCCACACAGAGTAGCTGGGTAAATTAAAGATTATAACAACATACATATGTATCTCCTGATAGTCCTGATGACACTCTTCTATAAATGTGTTTTATTACTTTTGAAGGGGTAAACAATGATCCAAAATATACACTCACCCACTTCACTTTTACTGATGCTGTGGTGGAACAAGGAATACCAAGCAAGGAAGGGCTGCCCAGGTTTAAGGACTGGAGAAAACACTTTCAAGTAAATTGAAATGTTTCCAGTTTTTCTCAAAAGCACTTAACACTTGGGTGAAGCAACCATGAGATTTCTGAACAATGCACCATCAGAAAGTGTGAGAAATGTGACTTGGTTCAATGGCTTGCAGAATATTACTCCCCTCCCCAGGTTCCTGATCTAAGTTACTGACAGATCTTTCCAGGGTTATCCTTAACCTGGCTGGAACCATGCTGGGGCTTCAGTTTACTTTGAGAAACAGAAATATGGAAAACACAAGAAATGCCGAGACACTGTCACTTTTGGTAGGTATGGACTCTTCTGATAGCTTGTACCCTGGACCCACCTAGCCATTGATAAAATTGCCACATTTGGTCTTTGCAGTCAGATTAGCCCTGGGACCACCTTTCACCAATGAAATGGAACACATCTGCATTCCTAGAGTTTTAACAATTACACCAATGCTGAAATGATTCAAGGAGAAAAGTCGACAAAAGAACAATGTGTCCGACTACCAAAGACGTGGCAAATCTATCAAGAAAACAAGCCACATCTCCAAATCTCTAGATCATGGGAAAGCTTAACAGCAATAATGGGATGTCATTTTTAGTGGTGAGTTAAACTGCCAGAGGCTGCTGACCCTTACCAAAAAATACATCCTTTGCTAAGATCCGATTTAACAATGAGGTGACCATGTAGGAATCTTTAACATACAAAGGTAACACAATACCCTACAGGTGAAGCTCAAAGGAAAGCACAGATACGTGCTGTGCTAAGGAGAGGGGCCAGATTATCTGAACTGATGTTGTACCTGGGTCAGGCGGTAAACTAAAGAAGTGGGATGCACAAGACTTACTGTTGAGGACGATGGAACACAAGACTCGAGGCTGGGGATCACAGGTCTTGGCACCAAGAGAAGCATGAGATCTGGCTATGGGATGCTGAGTAAGTTATCCCTGTGGGCCTTAACTTCCTTACGTGCAAGATAGCCAATCTGTGTTTGAACAGTCTAGAATTTGTAGCATATTAAAAGACAGCTGATAATTCACCTGGAAGAGGGTACAGGGGAGGGAAGAGAGCAGGTATGCCTCTGGAACAAAGGTGGTGTGGCAAGCCTAGCACAGCAGCTGTCTTGGTGATGAAAAAAAACTCCAGCCACTCTGTGGGTTCTTTCCCTGCTCAAGTGACAAGCAGGCTGCATGAGATTGCACACCACCCTCAGGAAAGAACAGCACAATGCAGGGCTATGCACAGATGAGAAGAAATGTGCAGAACCCTCAAATTCACAGATAAATAGTAAGAGAAGTTTTTCTTAAAAGCTATGGTCAAGTATTGCTGCTACAGAAGAATGACAATGTACCTTGCAGTAATGACTATAGCCCAGGATGAAAAAAGATGGAAAAACAGATGAGGCTATGGTGGTGTTTTTCTTCTGCAGAAGGTTTCATGTCATCAAAGAAATCTCATAAGACACTGACTTTCTGGACCTCTAAAAACACAAGAAGTATCCTTGCATCCTCGAATAGCCAAAGATATTGGTCTCACAGTTGCCATAAGAGACACTGAATTTGCTTACATAATTTTACTTCCAACCTTGAGCTAATTCACCCAAAAGGATCTCCCTAAATCGTCCAACAAATCTGAGAAATGACCATCTCCATAAACAAACTTTTTAAGAAAGATTAGTTTTTAGGATTTCACATACACTGGATACTAATTATTGAATGCAAAGAATTTGCGATTTTACTTTAACAAAATATAGCATGCTCATGAATTAAAAATTTTCATCCAATTTTCAAAACCTGTGTTCACAGATGACATTAACAGCCTTCGATAAATGCTGCCCATTTAGTTCTTTGTTCAACAAAGAATGTACTAATCTGAACTTGTTTGCTAAAGGAATTTTCTCCTCACCTCCAAAGCTGAACAACTAACCTTCTGGAAATGATTCTAGCACCTCTGTAGCATTTGTTGATAGGAAAGGTTCCAAAGACATCACTAATTTCACATATGAAGCTCAATAAATTAAAGAGAAGTTGAGTTGGAGTGGAACAGTGTTAACGGAGCCAGAGTCTGGAATGCAGGGGAATCCTGGGGCAAAGGCGGCACACAGATCGCATGAGACATTTTCATCAAGACAACGGGAAACAGATAAAACCTAAAGATCAACACAGCACAGAAAACCTCTCAAATTTTGAAGAAATTATGAACAAGCCCATTGCATAGTTATCAGAATGGCCTTGAGGCAGGTGTGTTCTCAGTGCCTGAACATCTGATCAGTGCAGCAAATACCATAGGTTGCACCATGAGCTTGGTCTCAGTGCACCAAACTAATTGATGGAATTATCACTGTTCAACCCGCTACTTTGGCATTGTGTTGACAAAGCCTGACTTAATGCTATGGAACCTATGCATCTATGAACCAAGATATCAAACATTTGAAAATGATTTTGAATCTTTGGATGTTTCTTGATTGGCTTAATGAAAAATGACTACTATTTGTAAACTCCAGAGATCACACAGTGCCCTTTTGATCAACACAGTGGAAGTTTTCTTTATAAAACAACAAAAAAGTAGTTAACTTCCAATTAACCACTGTCTATACCAATGGCCTCTGTTCTCTGGCTTCTTATTAATAGACTTTTTGTTACGTACAGACAGAATGTGATATCTTTGCTGAGAACTCAGAATTCAAGTATTTGGAAAACATGGACAATTTACTTGAATTAAAATAAGAGAAAACTTTTTCTTTGTCCCTCACAATAACTCCCATGTCTTGCCTTCTCTCATGGGCAAACACTAACTCACCATTCCTTGGAGCTACCTCTGCTCAAGAAGCAGAGCTTACCTGAAGATGTCGGACAGGTGAGTAGGAGCTCACCTATTTTTCTACCCTCACTGTCTAGCCAGTAATCACTTAAAATCAACTACAATTTCTTTCTTTTTTATATTACTAAAGTCTGTTGTAGGTGCCATATACTTCCCAAACAACCCTAAAATGGATTTCTATTTGGGAACTGTGGTCAAGGGAGTTTTAAGGTTGAGAATGTGTGAAGTATGACTGAACAACATGCTTTGGACTCTCAGGTGATGGTAAATGGACATTCACAATTGGAGCTCTTGAAAGGACCAGCTGCTACAGCGGGAAGATTCTGTCCACTAATCCCCAGATCCATCCTGTGAACTTTTATTGAAGACTTCATCCTGTGAAGCCTGGTGATCGATTCCTTCATAAAATGAGCCACCGTTGTGCAGGAAAGTTCCCACTGCCCGCCCCTGCCGGGCATGACCCACAGCGTCGCTGAACACTTTGTTTATCTGCTCCTCGGAGGGCATCCACCAATCGGGGTTGGAGGTGCAGTGCATCCTAATGAATTCTGCGGGAATATACACAACAGTAAAGAGAGAGAGAAAAAAACAATAGCTGGTTTTGACAGATGACAACAGGACAGGCTGCTCAAACATTAACAGAAGCTCCATCAGAAAAGCTGTATGGGAGATCCAATGCAGTGCCATGATGAGGTCACTTATTACACCCAACTTATTCCAAACCAATTTTCTTCTCATATGTACAAGTAAAAATCCCCTAAGGGAGAGGTCATCTTGCTAAGGAACATCTGCTGTTGAAAACAAAGGTAAATTTGATCAGTAAGACATTGTGTGCACCATGCCTGGTGCAGGTTAGTAACGGAGCACACTGATATTTTGAGAAAGTTAAATCAAGAAGCACAGCAAATATCATTAGCATGGTATTCTTTAACCAGCTAAGAGTTTAAAGACTGAGCACAATAAAATGGCAGGGTCTTAATGAGAGGGAGGGTACTAATTCAGAGAAGGTTTCTTCATTCTTAAAATGCTGCAAGATGGGCTACACTTCCTTCTCAAATTGAAATATCTACATATTTACTAGCATAATATATGATCTCAACTAAATATTTAATGTTACCAGAATATAATCAGCATGCTTGGAGGAGGGATAGCTCAGCTGCCTTTGGCATGATCACCATTTCTTGCCCATGGATTTTACACTTAAGGGCTGGATAAAAGCTGTGGGTTATGCCCCATGTGAGAAATGTACTAGAGACTGTGGACTCTGGCTAGGCAGCCTGGCCAGCATCAGTGTGACCATGGACCAGCAGCGTTCTTCAGGCAATGGCATTGGTTCTCTGGGATGTCTTTTCATCCCTCTGTTTCTCTGACTTGCTATTAACATAAGATGTGAATCAAGTTTCTAGAAAGGGATACAGTTGTGACACCCCTCATCTTGGCTCCTTTATAAGCCTAGGATACAGTTGTAACACCCCTCATCTTGGCTCCTTTATAAGCCTAAGGGCAACTTTGTTGAATATATATAAAGAGTGCACCCAGTAGAGCCCCCAAGCTCAATACTGCCTGTTGGTGAATAACTCCATCACTTTTGATGATATTGGGGAATAAGGGAAACTATGGCTAGTTTGCTAAATGAACCCTAGTAAGTTCTATCACCTAGTCAGTCTAAGTAAAATTTTCAGATTGGCCAATGAGAGGTAGGCTCTGGAGTATACCCAGTTAATACTGGTATTTTTCTCAGATGGTTTCCTGAGGCATGGGCCACTTACATGAGGATCAACAAGATCACCTAGGGTGATCATGGCCAGGAGCCATGCATGCTGAATGAGAAATCTCTGGCGTGGGCTAAGAATCTTAATTGCTAATAAATACCATGTATTCAGCCTAGCCACCTATGGTTGCAGAAACCAAGTGCTTACGGTAAGGTGGCACTCAGCAGGGAACATAGGGATATTCTTTCCAATAAACAAAGACTTTATCAGTGGTAACTTAAAAAAAAAAAAAAAAAAAAAAACTATAATTTCTTCATCAGGAAAATTTTTGATCCCTATCCAGATTAAACCAGTATTAAAACTTTATAGTCAACAAAACTGCTATTGAACTATACAGGTTAATATTTGAGTGTTCTAATGTGGATTTTTCAGATGTGCCAGTGTTCAGTTGGCACTATTATGTTTCTACTTGTCTACATGTTTATTTGTATCTTTCAAATCAACTGTATACCTCCTGATTCCTCCTCCTCACATCTGCCTGCTTTCAATAGTGCAGATCAGCTGCAAAATGATCACCAGTTAATACAAATGAAATGGTAGTATTATCTGAATACTTAGTATTTTTTTTTCTTTTTTTGTGATACTAGGAATTGAACCCAGGGGTACTCTACCATTGAGCTACATTCTCTGCTCTTCTTATTTTTAAAACTTTGAGACAGGTCTAAGTTGCCCAGACTGGTCTTGAACTTGCCATCCTCCTGCCTCAGCCTCCAGAGTCACTGAGCCCAGCTCTAAGCAGCATTTTTAATACAGAAACTTTAAACCAAAACAAAGTTTTACTGGGTAAGATATCCTGCAGGCACTAAGGAAAATTAATTCTAAACAAACTTAAGGAGTTGGGTTGAGTATTCTTGAGAAGAAAGTTAGGGGAGGGGTGGCAGGCTAGAAGTGGAAACAAAGTTCTATTTTACCAAATTAAAAAAAATATATTCCACATCTTCCTTTCTTTTGTGCATTTCCCTATGCTCCCATTTTGCCAGAAATGGCCTCCTCTGGCAGCAAAAAGAAATCTGAATTTAAAGCGTGAAACATGAGGTGCTATGCAATGCTTATGTACCATTAAGTGAGAACAACGAGGCTAAAGCAAACGATTTTTTACAGAGCTTCTCACTACCAGGTAGATGGGCCACATGAAGCCTATACGCTTCTCAGTGGAAAGAAATCAAAATACAGTAAGGCTGAACACTTGTACGGGGCAGCCACAGCCAATGCGGTGAAATGGGATCACGGATGGTGGACACTGAGCGGAAGGATGCAGTACCTCGGAGGCATGTGACTTTAACTGGATCCAGAGGGCGTCTTTCGGGACCTGTCTCTCCTGACTGCACTGACCTTTTCCTTTTCCCAAGGCCGCATGAGTACTTAAGCTCATCGGTTGTGAAAACAAATCTGATGAGGTAGCGAAGGAGCCGTCTCCCATCTTTCTTTGAAGAATTTACAGCCTCGTCCCACTGTTTGCTCGTTATGTAGACGGGATAGTTGTTCAACAGCTGCTTGCTTCCCTGGAAAAGCAAAATATTTTCTCATTACCTACTGAGCCAGCCAGCCAGAAGCCAAAGTGATCTCCATTTCAAAGGCAAACCTGCTTTTTAACCAAGTGGCTATGCTGACAATGAACCGATACTGAAGAGCACAAGTAATTGCTCACACTCAGAACGGGCACTTTTCAAATTACATTTGCATTTTCTATAACAAGAGCCAATGAGGTATAATGAACACCTTTGAAAGAGGAGCTATTTATAACTCGCATTTTAACAGGTAGGTTAAAATGTGTCAAGATCCAATGACAGGAAACACTATTTAAATATAACCTGTAACTTTCCTTTTCAATCTATTAAAATATGCAAAAAATGACTTTGAAGAGTGTGATCAAACAGGTCCCTTCATCCTCTGGTTGGCAGTTAAGTACTTTTAGAAATGGTGCTGGTGGTCTATTTTAATCAGATATTACCTGTGTTTAAAGCACCTAACACCTGATAGCCATTGTGTTACAGTGGAAACAACATTTAAAAAAGTGATTTTTAAAAAAGGGGAATTGTGGAAACTAGAAAAAAAAAATCATTAACAATAATGCAAAACAGGTTTCCTCAAATTATAGCTTCTACAAATGCCACTATGTCAACTCAAAATTTTTCTTACTTTTCACCTTCATAATTTATGTCTGCTATAAAATTCCCAGGCTAAATAGCTGCAGTGGGACTAATTATGGGAATTTCTGTAACATTTATAAGCCATGTTTAGTCAATTGCACCTACACAACCATTACTTTAGTTCTGGCTGTCCATAAAATTCTACAGTCCAGGACAAATTAATTAACCCATGATCTCAGTTTTAATGTACTCTTTCCCCAGTAATTAAGGTGTACAAAATAAAGAAGGGAAAACTCATTCAGTTTTACAACTCTGCAAATTTACTACAGGTTATAAATTTGGCACCGTTTGGGTCTGACAAGGTTTTATTTCAAAAAGTGCTCTGCTTAGTTAAGCATTGAGAAAGGTAAGTGGTAGAGAAGCCAACAGAAAAAGGCAGCCAGAGCTGGCTAGGAAACTGTCAGTAAACTGTGCACATGGAAACTCATCACTTCAGTTTTTCCAGAAAGCTATATAGTGTGACTTGATTTCCCTTCTTAAGGGAAGCAGTTGAGGCTGCAGTTTGTGCTATGGATTTAGAGACAAGCTGGATTTAAGATGATTCTTGTTTTGTTTTTTTTTTGGTCTTAAATTAATGTGAGCAAAGTACTCAACCTTGTTGGAACAAAAGTTTCTCCATCTGTAAAATACAATAAACTGTATTATAATGTGTTTATAAAGTGAGCATTTGGGAGCATATACCAATCCTTGGTTCTGTGTACAATGAGGGGGACATACATAGTGTGTAAGAGGTGACTGATCAGAAGACAGGCAGAAACTAACGTTCTACAGCTTGGGAAATGGGAAGTGAGATATAAGTAATCTGGAGCAGTGCAGTTACAGAAGAGGGAATGAGATGTAGAATCAAGAGCACCAGGCAACCAATCCAGTGACTAGGTTATGGGAGATGGAGGTAAGATGATTCCTAAGTAAAAAGGTGGTATCTTGCACAGATAACAGAATATGGCTGGGAGAAGAGAGCAAACAGGGAAAAAAATCTCACTGCGTCTCATGCACTGAGAGGGAAGGGCTTATCAGGGCTCTGTCCAGTTGACCCCCTCAGCCCTCAGGGCAGCCAGGATCGGGGATGAGTGAAATCCAGGCTGGCTGGCCAGAATCATTCCTGGTGTCAAAAGCACCTTTGTGGAAAAACTTTATTAATAACTGTCACCATTTTATTGAGCAACTGATGACCAGCCTGAGGTGCTTGCCCCAAGCCCTAGGCATGCTGGCCTCCTTTCTCCTCCCCTGCAGCAGTGTCAGTCCAACTGCAAAGCTGGACTCTGGGCTCACCCTTGGGCAGGTGACTAACTTCTCCAAACTCAGCTCCTTTCTGTCAGAATAGGGATACTACTCCAAGCTTGCTGGTGTATATAGTGAGGCTTCCACCAATGTCCTACCAGATGAAGAGCTCTTGAGAATCAGGATTTTTATCATTTTACACAATATCCTACCCCCAGGGTGGAGAACAGCATCTGTCACACAGTAGATATAATAAACATGTCCCACGACTGATGTAGTACAATGCTTACTACTGTGGCTGGCACAAGGTGGACAGTAAGGGCAGCTACAGGAAAGAGTGCCTACCTTTTTTTAACCACTGTGGCACTGAGACACTTGAAAAGAGCTGATGAACATAAATTGGCAAAGTTAAAAGAACTTTAAGGAGAGCAACAGATACAAGGGTCTATTAATTTAAAATGTTCCTGTACTTAAGATCTCTGCAAATATACTTGTCCATTTTGGAAAAGGAGACTGTTTATTTAACACTATATTAAAAAATGTTTTCCCTCAGGTGTGTGGAGCTCACCTGCAAGGTAGGATTATGGCTATTTTACCAAGGTCCCAGGATGCAAAGGGGTGGGTTCTTGAATTTGGGGACATGATGCCATGCTGTACCCCTAAAGTCAGTCTATTTCAAGATGGGAAGCTGTGGTTTGGAAGCTGGCAACCCAAGAAAGCTACTTTCTCAAATCCTTTTAAAAATCCACTTATAGAAGAGCTCAGAACTCTTCCAAAATGCAGAAGCTCTACATAAAATATTGTCTCATAAAATGTAGAAATACCATTTAGAGGTAATTTTCATCAAGAAAAAGGAAAAGAGAGAATACGTAATTTACAGCCCAAAACACAACTCAGAATGCCCTGTGGGTTATGGATGAGAGTTATAATCCTGTTGTGGCATAGTTAATAGAAATAAAATGTGACAAATAATAAAAATGAGAAAATGCTCATGTGCTTGAAATGACAATAAAAATAGGATGGTAATAATGATGATGATGGGTAATAAAAGCTTAAATAGTCCTATCCAACGGAAATGCAGTTATTTTTTCCTCTGTTTTTTACATTTTTATGGAATTCTGATTCTCTAGCCTCTTCAATTAGCCACCAACAGGTTATAAACGCTGACCTGTTGTTGAGTCACTTTGATAAAACTAAGATAAATAACCCTAAATTAAAGTCTTTGCAGGCTCATAGCCAAACAGAAGACACAGGTGTACATTAAGTAAGGTATGGAGTTCTGCATTAGACTTGTGAACAATGTGCTACGTGAGCATAAAACAGGAAGGGCAGTCGGGGAGAGCTTCCTCAAAGAAGTGGCTTTTCATCTCTGTTTACATTTATATGACAAAAGTGTCAAGTACGAAATGTAGACTTTATTATTAGTCTGAGTAATGAAAGGATTTTAAGCAAGTAACATTTAGTTTGGATCTGTAATTTACAAGATAGAGATGAAAAATCTATTCTAATACTCCAGGTGTAAAGTGCTAAGTGCAGCTCAGAGAGAAGATAGGCAATTCACATGGCTGTAGAATCAGCGTATGCCAGGAGGAAGGAGGGGACAGCCAAGACATTGTCAGAAACTCCTACCTGGCTTGGTGGGACTGTTACTGAAGAGAAAACATGAGCATGTGTGTTCAGAGTGAGGGTGATGAGGCTCAGGGGTGTGTGGGCACCCCAAGTGGTGCAGTAGACAGTGGCATAAGGTTGAGCTGTGGGGACTGGGGCTCTCCATACCCACTGGAACTTCTTAACCTTCAAGCGGTGGATGTTATAAGAACAGAACTGAACAGAGAAGATCAAGAGAAGATGAAGAATGAAACTCTGGGGAACAATGGATGGAAAACTCTTGAGAGTGCAGTAAGAAAAGGATGGGGAATCCAGAGAAAGTACCAATGCTAAGGCCAAGAAGAAAAGAGATAAGGGCTACAAGAAGGTCCCTGGGGCGGGTAACCAGCAAAGGCACCTGAAAACATTCCAGGGGGTAGTGAAAGTAGAGTGAGATTACAGGGTGGAGAGCAGATGGGAATTAGGAGAGTAGGGACGGTGAACAGGGACCAGTCTTCAAGTGTTTAATTCATTAAAAAAGGGAGGTCATCATTCAGCAAACATGAACTGAGGACCTTCTAGGACAGATACCGGGGATACTACTGGGGATAAGACCTGGGCTCCAAGCTCAAGGAGCAAGACGTGTCATGGCGTGGCAGGAAAGCACTGTCAGAGGGTGATGTGAGAGCATACTGCAATGGAAGGAGAAAGAAAGAATATCAATTGAGGAAGGAAGGGGGAAGTAAAGGGAGGCTTTTTTAGGGTAGGCAAGACTTGAGTGTGTTTGATAGTGTTCTTAAGCCTTGGAAGGAAAAGAACATATTCACCACCAAGCCTTCAATACCTTGTAAAGATGGATCATGTCTAAACTGACATACCATTACCTTCAAAACGGACCGTTTCTCCTACACACGGAGAGACTGTTGTTTCTTCTACTGAAGTCAGGAGAAAAAGTGGCTCATGTTCAGGAGCCCTAGGTCAGGAAAATAGCCCACCTGAACTCCAGAGAATGTCAGATGGGAGATGCTCCATCATGAAAGGCATTATGGAACACTAGCTCTGCCTGAGGGTGCGAAAGGTGGGTGTCTCCCACTGTAGGCCCTTGCTGTGCCAAAGGAAAGGTGGAACTGCCTGTGATATTTCTTCTTTCTTTCCCCTTTCAGAGTGCAGAGCTGAATCTTTATGAGCAAAATACATGCCTTCCCCTACCCCACAGAACACATACATGCAGACAACAGATCATCAACTTTTACCTGGCTAGCCAATCTATTCCGGCATAAACCAGTTATCAAAAGGCTTCATCTTAAGGAAATTCCACACAGAACTTACTTATCTTTGGACCCCTAAGACCTACCTCGGTGGGCTGGTCAGCTGGCTGTGGCATCAGGAGTTGGTTATGGTGCTGCAGTACCGTCTTCAGGTAATCTAAAACGGTCTGGCAGGGCACTGGGAGGAAGGAAAGGCAACAGTTACACATTAGCTAGCCCTCAACATGAAAATAAACTCTTGAGGTCTAAAAACACAGTTGATGTGAACTTCTAAAAAAAAGGATCTGTTTTCTAAAGGAAATAGAATCTCCTTTCATTTGACATCCGCAGTTATTTCAGTTAGTAAATACAGAACAGATGCTACAGTTTGGGGACAATTTTTAGGATCAGCACAATTTGAGATCTTTCAAGTCCAACTTACTCCAATGCAAATCTGGGTCAACAATAACGATCATGAATAACTCAAAGAAGAGATGTGAACTCTGACTTTACTTTTGGTATAAGCACATGATGGCACTTTTAAAATTAAAGCACTGAAAGCTAATATTTCTCTGGCTGATAATGATATAATATTCATTGCTATGGTTTAAATGCAGTTTTTCCCTCTAAGGTTCATGAGCTGAAGCTTGGTCTCTGCAGTGTCAATGCTGGGAGATGGTGGGACTACTTAAGAGGTGGAGCACAGTGCAAGGCTCCTGAGTCAACAGGCAATGCCCTGGGAAGGAACAGTGGGTCCCTGAGTTAGTTCCTGAGAGAAGGGTAGTTATAAAAGATCAAGTCTGCCCCAGCCCTCCTCATGCCCTAGCTTCCTGCCCCACCATATGATCTCCTTCTCACACCTCCTCCCACCATGATGCTATCTGCACAGAATGATGCAGCCAGGACCCTTGCCAGAACCAGCACCTTGGTGTTTCAGCCTGTAGCGTCCCAAACTGAGCTAATAAACTTCTAAGTTACTCAGCTTTGGGTACTTCACTATAGTAATAAACAGGTATGTTCGTTCTTTCTTTTTTTGGAGACAGGGCCTTGCAAAGTTGCTGAGGCTGGTTTTGAACTTGTGATCCTCCTGAGCTGCTGGAATTACAGGAATGCACCACTGTGCCCAGCTGAAGAAGTTCATTTTTAATGACAGAATCAATCTAGTTTATTAACAAACAGGAATCCTATTCAATCAAGATTTGATTCCCAACACCTGACACACAGTTCTTACTGAATGCATCCCTTTCTCTGGTTTTAAGAAGGTCCATTGATTTGGTCCAATTCAGACTTGGTATGTGTTTCATTGACTATTACACTATTTTTTTTTTTGAGACTTTGTCTTATATATTCGTTTAATAATTACAGTAAAACTGAATAGATATTAACCCAATAGAACATGACTTTTTTGTTCCATTACATAAATAATGCCTACATCTTAAGATTTATATTAGCACTCTTTCAGGAATTTTGACTAATTGCTTTCAAAGGTCTTGGTAGCTTAGTTAAGAATCTAATTTATATGAATTGTTGCCACTATCTTTCTTAGCTGTGTTTTCCTAAGATGTTTTTGTCACATTAAAGAAAATAATAAATATTTAACCTAAGCCCCAGTTTTAAAGTATCACCACAGAGCTTTCTTCACTTTCTTTTTCTCACTTTTTTTTTCTTCAGATAGCAGACAGAAGTTATCATTTTTATCCCTTGCTAATGGCTTTGGGTTTTCAGGTGACATCACATAACAAACTAAAAATTATATCAACAGCCTTTTGAAGAATTTAAATGACAAGAAGTAGAAGTAGGTTAAGAAATCTTTCTTCTTGCCTCCAAATTATTTTCTTTAATAACCATCCTTACAGACCTGTGTTATGGCCATCACGAATAGCCCTCTGAATATATTCTTCAAATTGAAGTAGCATTTGCTGCACAGCCACAGAGGTCAACCAAAGTAGCCACAGTGGTGTCAGTTTGAAGTAGGCCTATTACTACACCACAGTTTAATAAAACCTGTCAACTCCCGATTTCAGCCTGTGAAAGCCCAATCCACTTTACAGATGCCATAGTGAGAAGGATACCTCTTTTGGCTTTGGACATTAATTACTGGGAAAAAAAATAAAGCAGAATTGAGAAACTAACAGAGGCAGGAGACAGGGCTGTATTTTAGTTCTGGGGTTTTTACTCATTGTGTGGCCTTTGTTTATTTATTTTTAATTTTTATGATGTTTGAGTCTCTTCTAGACGGGGCTGCATATGAGGATCCAAAGCAGCACTTTTTTCTTCACAGTTTATGATAAGGATAAAATGCAACAGTACATATGACTGCCTCACCAAGTGACAGGTGCAAGGAATGACCTTGGATTCAGCTCGGAAGTTTTACTAAAATTTTGTAAATGTAATTAGGATTTGAATGAACTTCCTTTGATTCCTTACTCATATTTTAGAGTCATTAAGATTATGAAAAAACTTTTAAATGAAGCACAAAAAATGCTTACGAGGAGGCATATAAAATGGAATATTCAGTATGACTTCAACCATGTTAAAAATAATTATATGAGAGATAGGAAAGAAATAAGCCAAAGTGCTAATAATAATAATAATTTACAATGAGGGGCTGGGGTTGTGGCTCAGTGGTAGAGTGCTCACCTAGCGTATGTGAAGTACCGGGTTCGATCCTCAATACCACATATAAATAAATAAAATAAAGGTGTTGTGTGTCCACCTACAACTAAAAAAAAAATTATTTAAAAAAATAATTAGCAATGATTTATATTTTAGTTGTGGGATTATGGTAGTTGTTACTCCTTTCTCCTTTGTCATCCTTATAAAAACCAGTACCAGTACAGGTTGAGCATATCTAATTTGAAAATCCAAAAATGCCCCCAAATCTGAAACTTTTTGAGGGCCAACATGACATTACAAGGAGAAAATTTCACACCTGATTTTGTGTGATGGGCTGCAGTAAAAATGCAGGCACACTGAAAAGTTTGTATAAAATTACCTTCATGCTACCTGTATGAAGTGTATATGAAACATTAATTGACGTTGTGCTTAGACTTTGGTCTAAGGATATCTTATTATGTATATGCAAATATCCCAAAATTAGCAGAACTCCAGAATGTGGGAAGTTGTAATCCTAAGCATTTCAAATAAGAGATACTCAACCTGTATCGTAAAGAATTAATTTAGAAGTCTGGAAAACACCTCTATGACTGTCATGTCTCCTCCCTTGCATCTATTACCTTCCATGGGGAATACAAAGCCCTGGTAGAGCTAAGAGGCCAACTCTCCCTGCTTTTCACACACCCAGCATTTAGGCAGCAGTGCTAAGCTAGCCATCACCAAGGCCAGCTGATTTATCCATGCTAGAAGAAAATGGAATTGTATGTGCATCTGCTGGCTAGCTATAGGGGGCCTGATTTAGGGCAGGAAGACAGGACAAAACTCCTACTAGTGGACTGTTTAACCAACTGAAACAGCCACTGCTTTGGGCATGCTGAGTGATTCCCTTCTTCCAGGCTTTCCCCTGATGTCCTCCCCATCAGTGATCCTGCAAGGCAGATGCACCTCGGCCCCTCCAGTCCAGGGCCAGAGTGCACTCCCATTAAGAAAGGGGAGTATTATTCTTGGCTGAGGACTCCGGATAATTGCCTAGATTTTAACAGGAAGGCCATAGAATCAAGTGCAATGTTTTCTGTGGGATTGAGGGGGATACCTCAAAATCAATCAATTTGGAAAACAGAGGTGAGTGAGTATAAACTGCATTTGAAACATAAATGAATTCTGTTTATTAGAGGTAAAACATACCCTGACCCACAGCTTCACCATGCTGCCTGCCTAGAAGAGGCACAGGACACTGAAAGGGAGTTGTGGAAAATCTCCTGTTCTCTTGTCCCTTTGTCTTATTCACCTACAGTTTGTGGACTGCAGTGGAATTTCTAAGTGTATATTCGGGGCTCACAGGGAATAAGGATACAGGGTGTCATGCATGGTTCCTTGCAGTTCAGACCACCACGTAATACCCCTGGTCTCCAATGGAAGAGAGCCAGGTCAGGGCTTACAGCTTGAAAAGATCATCAACAGGGTCCTCAAGGAGCAGATTATGCCCCCAGAGACAGTCACTTCTAACTGCCTTTCATGCAAACATGACTTCAGATCCATTGGGCAGATTTCACCCATTCACTTTTTCATTCTGCAACCTACTAGAAAGTAAATGAGAAACCCAAACCAAAAATACGTATTAAAAGGAAAAAATGTTGTAAAGGAACCCAAAATGCACCTCTCCTGACATGAATGTTTTTAAGTTTTTCCCCTCCATGCAACAACACTTTAAAATGCGTATCAGAGAAAATAGGAAGCTCCTTTGCATCAACAACAAAAAGGAAGACTCCCTAGTCTATGTGGATGCTTATCATGGTTAGGAAAGGGGAGTTAAATCCCATAAAGAATGGAGGTTTTTAAGACATCCTAAGATAATATGATAGATACCTGGCAAAAAGTCTTGAGAATTACTCCTCAAGTAACTGTTGGGTCCTGTTTTTTAAATGTACTAATGCTGACACTTACAAACTACGTGATCCTGGGACAGTTGCTTGATCTAAGTCTGTCATCTCATTTGTAAAACTGGAATAGCTACTGCCAATTAGTTGAAATAATACATGCAAAGCAGTACCCAGGAAGTACTGCCTACTATAAGCTATGATGATTTTAAGAGTAGGAGTCTAGTGAATTCTTCACAGAAGCCACTTAGCTGTTGACCATGCCGTCTTGGCTGCTGGGCTATCTAAGCAGCTGTGCAGTAAGGTTCTTCTAAGGGAAACCACTCTAATTCTGGTTTTGCCTTTTGTTGTTTTTTTTGGTACTGGAATTTGAACTCGGGGCATTTAACCCAACTTGGGGAATGATGAGAAGTGGAAGAGCCCTTTTTTGCATTTTATTTAGAGACAGGGTCACTGAGTTGCTTAGTACCTTGCTAAGTTGCTGAGGCTGGCTTCTGAACACGTATTCCTCCTGCCTGAGCATCCTGAGCCACTAGGATTACAGGTGTACACCACTGTGCCCGGGCGGTTTTGCCCATATTAAGGGTGTGCAGGGCTCTAGTTCTAATTCTCATTGCAGGTGACTACATTAAAATCTTGATCAGTTTATTATTCCTCAAGCATTATTTAGTCTACCTTGCCAGACAATTGTTTTTAGAGATTTAAA